GCAGGCTGCAAACAGCTGCGCCGGGCTCCACAGCTTCGGCATCAGCTCCATGCTGGCGGCGACTGCACATGCACCTCAAGGCAGACAGCAGGGCAGCGCAGCCTACCCCTGAGTTACAGGAAAGAGCTGCAGTCACTGCAGGCATTACGGTTGGAGCAGGGCATGGGAATGATGTGCATCCAGGCAGAAGCCTAGGCAACTGCTGGTGTGTTCTGTCCGCTGAGCATACCTGTTGCTCGTGGTGCCTTACCCATTTCCAAGGGACCGACGCATGCCCTGCACACCTGCCTGAGTGCCCAGTGCCCCTTGCAAAAACAACAGCTCCTGGGGGAGGTGCTTCTGCCCCAATTCCCGCTTCTGTCATGTTGCGGCTCCTCACTGACACGCTGGCTCCAAGGACGGGTACACAAGAAGAAGCCTGAAAGAAAGGGGAAACCCACATTAGACAGTTTCACGCTAACCGCACCGCAGTGGGTAAGATGACCCTTGTGGGCCGACCCAGCACATTTCTATTAAGCGTTCTCAAATCACCACATAAAATGGCCAGTTTTCCCCACACAGACCGCCACGTGCCCTTAATAAAAGGTTTCCAAATCCCCACACCATTTCCATGACACAACAAAGCCATATTTTCATACACTTACCCAATTACCACACAGTTTGCACAGGTCCCACAACACAGTCATGTGCGGGCCGGGTGTGAGCCGGGCCCTTTTTTGTGCTCTGCGCGGGCTGTGGCCAGCAGCCCGGGCACGCGGGGTCGGAGAGAACGGGCGACATGCTAGAATTAGGCACGGACTCGTAATGGTAGATTTAAAGATTGTTTACTTACACCGAAGGTGGTTGCGGTGCAGGCTGGAAAACTTGCTTGAGTTGGAGTTACAAACAAAACAACACGAACAATCACGTGGAGTTTGCTAGGCTCCAGGTAAACAGAGCTCCGGATGCCCTGGACAAGCGCGCCACCAAAATAGAAACCTCGTAGATACGTCTTAAAAAAAATTATCGCTCGAAGACAGGAAGAGGTGGGCAGTGGATCAGGTCGCCAAACTCCTCTGAATCTCACACAGGGTTTCTATTACCCTGCCGTGTACCCAGAGACCCCACGAGATGGATGTGGAGTCCTCTTTGGCTTGGGCGGAAGCCACTCAAGCCTCTTATACGGCTAACAGGCCCAACGTTAGGCCAATCGTTAGCCGCCACGTGGGAATAATTTAGAACTAGCCAATAGCGGAGAACAAATTTGCATGCGGGTGGCGGGAACTCCTTTGCACCGTGCATTTCTCTTGCAACTTGAGAAATGCACCCTGCAAAGGAAGCTACAAATTAGCGGGAAATTCTCCCTTGCATCGGGGTTCTCCTCTGCAGCAGAAAACTCCACCATGCAACGAAGCTGCAATTTAGCAGGAATAATTCTAGTGCTGAAGCACACACAAAATCATACCTTTGGGTTATGACACCCTTCACTGTGTCACATGAAAGGAAAATTGGTGGCACACCAAAAGCTAGTAATTGAATCTGCTGCTTTATTGTGGCAAATGTCTATTACCCCTGTAGCACTTCCCGTGCTCAGGCAGACCCCTGCCCCAGGAAAAGCAGGGAGATCATACTGCTGCTTTCCCTGCAGCATCAAGGGCAGGACAAAGGGTGACATGTACCTGGGCAGATCTAAGATTTTGAGAAGTGGGGGAAAAGCTAGAGTGGCACATCATCACACAACACATATATAACACAACACACATTTTTCTCCGGTTAAAGAGAAACTAAAAGCTTTACTAACATGCTAGGGGGTGAGGACTATATTTTCAGCTTGAGAAATTGGAATGTGCACTGATTTGCTAGGCTATATACCAAGTTTAATAAAAACACAACCAACTAGGCAAAAAAGGTCAAAGGATTGGGCCTGCAGTCATTAGAGCTCACTGTACGTTTCTTTTTCAGATCCATAAAACAAAATCTAGCCTTCTTGAGTGTCTTGATGGTGCCTACGAAGCTACACTGTCAGTCACTTCTACCCCTGAGGTAACAGGACCACACTGGAGTGAAGGTTTTCAGCTAAGATTAAAAGAGTCTGCAGGGCTGTGAAGCAGAAGAGAGACACTCCCAGGAGGGGCTAACACACAACCATGCTGCAAAAGAAACCATAGTTTGAACAGTGAAATTTGGAGGCGATTAAAAGATTAGAGGGTGATTCATACCTGTGGAGTAGAAAGAGATTAGCAGGAATCAGGAAGATGACAAAGAGCCATGAAATCAGTGGACTCCCTCGGCCCTCCCTGCAGAGAAGCATGCCCCTCCCGGGCTATTGGCTGTAGCGTTGGTCTAAGGATGTCAGCAGACATGAACGATACGTGCCCCTGGAGGCTGGGGGGACATGGTGACCACCTGCAGGCAGCGACGGTCTCGGCGGTGGTGAGCTCCCACAAGTGGCTGCAGCAGTGTCAGTGGTGAGGCAGGGCAACCGGCGGGTTGCCGGGCAGGGCGAGTGCTAACCGGTGGTCGGCAACCACCCGCAGATGCCTCCAGCGGTATTGGCAGTGGCCAGTGGCGATCAGTGACAGCCCACAGA